CACACACACACACACACACACACACACACACACACACACACACACACGTGCGCATGCACACACGCACACACACTTTCCAATACAGTTGTCTTTGACACCTAATCAGCCGTGATAATGAGCGCGCTGCGTTGATTTAGTGTTTGGAGAGAACCGTGATTACTTTGTTCTCCTTAGGACAACAGGGACTAAAAGGTTAATGGCTTGAACAAGGAGCATGAGAAGCATCCCCGCAGTTCGAAACGGATAGTAATGACAATTAGCGTGCGTGGCATGCATCATTTGCCTGCAAAGATTTCGTCCCCAGGCAGGGCAATGACCCAGGATACATAAGTGGTTGAACCACACTCCAAGTGGCGTTTCCTTGTCTTTCACAATGAGGATGTGGCTCAAATTTGCCTTCAAGGTTCCTACCTACCGACTGACTGACTCTCAGCTTTGATGTTTAGATGCTGATCAGCGGTGTTAGTGAGTTCATTTGCATTCATTATTTTCAGGAGGGTCGGAAGGACCCAGCCTTACACCTTGTCTCTCATCAGGACAGGCACAAAGACAACAACATTCCAGAAATGTAGCCTAATCCCTGCTCTCTTTCTACCAAACGCCTGAACCTGTTGAAACAGGTTGCAAAATCCAGCTGAATTCTGGCGTTTCTAGGAGAACGAAATGAATACATGCAGAAGGAAAGACAGTATTTTAGAAAAATGGCCAACTTGAATTTAAAGGTAGTCTTCCCTTTCACTTTTATGATCTCAGTTTTTTATTAATCTAAGTTAGTAATCCTAAGAAATTTTTTTGTGATTGCTGTTGATTCAGCTGAGGTCTCACCAAGCATCTCTCCACGTTCGGGGTGCGCTCGCTGTGTAGCCCAACCTCTCCATCTACCTGCCCTAGCCTCCTACGAGCTGGGATCATAGACAATGTGTCTGACTTATTTGGTAAACTTGAAACTCTAGGATCTGCTTGTTTGGGAACCATTGGTCGTTTCTATAGATTGATATAGACATCCTAAGGCTGAGAGCTGGAAACTGGTGTGAACTCTCACTGCCGTGGGGCAGATGTACTGGTCACAAATACTGTTTGGTCAGATGGGAGTAAAAGCAAAAAGCACAGAGTCCCAAAGTTCCTGGGGGCAACCATCTGTCTTATTTTCATGTGGAAGGCTGAATAAAATGTACTTCCAACCACTGACAAGCAACAGTACAAGACGCACATTTGATTATGCGGACTAGCTCTCGAGAGAGGGGGGACAACAAAATTTATCACAAGACTGAAAGAGGAGGTATGATTTTCTGGGTGTACTTTCATCAACGACTGATTGCCTTTCATCCTAATGAGGGAGAAGGAAAAAAAGGCTCACTAGACAAAAGCACGGAGCCGTGAGAGTCTTTCTTGTCTGGAGCTGGAAATTGCCTTAAAATTTTTCGTTCGAACATTGTGAGAACACAGAAAGCCCATCTTGTGGATAGTTTAAGTCCCTGGAAATGCCGCCGTCCCCCTATTATGTGCAAGAGCAAATTGATGCAGTTTTACACTGGAAATTACCTTTGCATAATCAAATCCATGCTTTTCTTTGATGCCGTTGCGACAAACAGTGTAATTATAGAAACGAGAATTCTTGATTAATCCAAGCCATTCTCGCCACCCAGGAGGGATGTAGCTGCCGTTATATTCATTGAGGTATTTTCCAAAGAAGGCTGCAATGGGAAAGGAAAGATCATTTTTCTCATGTGAGATGATTAATCATAAACAACTGCAGAGATATGAAACTAGGACTTCAGAAGTGACGGCGAGGTGAAAACTCGTCAGAGGAGAGCGTTGTCGCCGTACTGCGCGGCAGAGCTCCTCAGGCCACGTCAATGTGACACTCGTTCCCTTTACCTTTAAATAAAGAACTGAAATACATGTACTGTAATGGTCAAAATGCTTTTGGGGATCCGCTTCCTGGGGCCAGCCTGGAATCAATGCAGGATATATTCTTTTGTTCAATTGGCAGGCAGTGTGAGATCCTGTGTGTGCTTGCTGTATGAGGACTGGAACACCAGAAATTAGTCTTTGTGACAAAATTAAGTTTTCTTACTTTTTATTTGACTGACGAATCACGAACCTTCACTGAGAAGTTTACCTCGCTCTCCACACAACCACAGAAGAAACGTTTCCTAGTCTGTGAAGCCCTTCCAAGCCCCTGCTCACAGAGTATGGTTCCTCAGTTGGCACGCTGGCTTCCACCCGGCTTCCATATCCACGTCTGGTCTTGACTCAAGGCCAGAGTAGCTCCTATTTCACTCAAACGCTTGTCTCGAGCCCACAGTTCCATACCCCATAGTTCTAATGCACCTTCCATGCTTTCTAGTGACGTAGAGTCATGCATGGTCTTGAGTAAGCTTTGGTTGCTTTGATGGAAACTTTCTACTTTGTGGAGTTTTTTGTTGTTGTTGTTATTTATTTATTGAGTCATTTATGTATGTGTGTGTTTATTTTTTGAGGCAGGGTGAGTCTGGCTATGTGGCCTAGGCCAGTCTTGAACTGTCAGTCTTCCTGCTTGTATCTCTGTGTCTACCTCCCAAGTGCTAAGCTTATAAGGTTATAGCCATGAATTTCTACGTTCGCCTTTGCCTCACCCTGTGGCCTGCCCCCCATCCCTGCACAGTGCAGGGCTCCACCAGTATTTCTTATACTGAGCCTCATGAACCTGTATATTCCAGAGAGTTTGTAAGTTCTGGAATTCTGAAAAAAAAAAGAGTTTTCACTAAATTACAAATTTAGAAGTCTATTTACTTTTCTAACATATTTAGATAGAATATAGTTTTTTTTTAAAGGTGTTTTAGGTTTATATGACTCCTTAAACTGTTTTCTTTGAAAACAATCTGGACTCAAGGCTAACCGCACTCTGGGGCTGGAGAGATGACTCAGTGGTTAAGAACACTGCAGCTCTCCCAGAGGACCTGGGTTCAATTCCCAGCACCCACATGGCTGCTCCCAACTGTCTGTAACTCCAGTTCCAGGGAACCTGACACCCTTACACATGCATGCAGGTAAACACCAATGCTCATAAAATAATATAGAAAAACAAACCGAGAGAGAGAGAGAGAAAGAAAGAACTCTAGTTTCTTTGCTTGTGGATTCTGAGAGTGAGTGACCCATATTGCTCACCTACCCAGTGCCTGGTGCTTGAGGTGCTGAGTGTAGGATTAGGTGTAAGGGCTCCGCCCCCGTAGTGCTTCTGGCTTCCTCCACCAGCTAGCATCACAGAGGGAACTTCCTTTGCTAGCAAAATGCAGTATAACTTGGTGTCAGGAGAAGCAGGCCAGAGCCCTGCTCCTGCCAGGTCACAGTTCAGAAAGGGGTTGTTCTGGGAGCTCGTGCCTAATAAACCTGGGCCCTACTCTCTCTGACGTCCTCCTCATCCCTAGGGGCATAACCCCACTTTTCTGTCCTTTTTGTTTGCAAAGAGTTTTGTAAAGGAGCATAGCAATTGGAATGTGTAGCTAAGAGCAAGCTTCCCTAGCATCTGCAGGCCAGCTCAGCTCTTCCTCCCTGCACTGCCCTGGAGAACCTGCTTAGGAGAAGACCAGTGGCAGGGATGTTGTTGGGGCTAAAGAGACTGGTCCAGGGGAAAGCACTTAAAACAGTGTTTGACAAGTGCAGGGGATTTCTCATGCAATGGTGAGGACCACTGTGTGATCCCACAGTGTGAAATACCATTCTGTGGTCTGAGGGCACCTTGTTCTCTAGTTTTGCTTGGTTACAGGTGTTTGTTTGTTGGGTTTTGGTTTTTATCCCCCGATATGACTTATTTTATAGAAACCAATTCTCTCCCATGTGGTTTCCATTTTCCTTAATTACTCTAAGACCTTTTCCTGCGACTTTTAGTGCTTCCCCACCTCTAGGGAAGCCATGCCCAGTCATGCCTGCCCTTCACCCACGGCTCTATTTTTTAGGTCACTCTGTACCATTTCTAGTCATTACCACGGTGATTGCCCTTCGCCTTAATCCTTCCCTTATAAATGACTCCTTCAAGTCTGTTAATAATTCTTGCTATTGCCTTCAGAACTGCCTCTGGGCTTTCGGTGTCTTTGTGTTAATGGAGTGTGAAAAGTGTGCTCGGGATTCCAGATGTGGCATCACCCACCACATTCACTGCAGGAGAGCCCAGGCCCAGGACCCAGCACCCAGAAGTGGCAGCAGCCGGATGTGGCCCCACAAGCTTCTCTGGTCCTTCTGGAGCGTCCTGCCTTCTAGCTCATCTCTAATCATCCCTGGTTTCTTTGGACATTACTTTTTTATTTTTTGCCTGTGCTCTGCGCTCCATTATCTGGGCTCCTAATCATTCTGTTCCGTGTGTGCTCTCTATCCATGTCTTTATATAGGCTGCTTGATTTTCATCTCATTTCCATATTATCATGCCAATGACTTGGTTAAAAGCCTGAATTTTCTCCCGCCTTTGGTGACAGCAACTCAGCTTGGCTAGTGTTTCTATCAGAGCCACCCCATATCCGTCCAACCTTCTGGACCATTTTTTCCTTTCATGACATCACCACTTGCCTTCATGGCTGTTTAGGGAGGTGGTTGGGGTTGGAAGGTGGGTAGAGAGGTCCGAAAGATTGAATTATGGATCACAACTATTTGTGTGTGTTTGGTTGTCATATTACTTCCCTCTGGGACCACGGGTTACATAGTACTTAGAAATGTGCCTTGACTAAAGAAAACACTTTTGGGCTGGAGAGATGGCTCAGTGGTTAAGAGCATTGCCTGCTCTTCCAAAAATCCTGAGTTCAATTCCCGGCAACCACATGGTGGCTCACAACCATCTGTAATGATGTCTGGTGCCCTCTTCTGGTCGGCATACATACACACAGACAGAATATTATATACATAATAATTAAATAAATAAATATTTTTTAAAAAAGGAAAACACTTTTTTCTATATCAGTAATAGTAACTATTAAAGATCTGATGCATAGGGAAATGAAATCTTATTTAGTATAGTGAATGATATATTTATGACCATTTTAATGCTTGTGACAGGATTTCATTTAGTGACTAAAGGTATAATTGAGAACTGAGCTAAATTGTGATTTACACATTTGAATATATGAATTTGGTTTACTCAGAGTACAAGCATAGTGAAGACAGGACTCTTACTTTCTGTCTCTTTATATCCCAGGGTCCAGTGTATTCCCAACATCCTGTGGTTCAGTAAATGTATGTAACGGTTCATATTTATATGCTTAACAAAAATCCATGACATCATAATCAAAACAAGTGAGTATATTAGCTTGTCTTACCCTAGAAGACTCTAAATTTAATGAAGTCCTTTACTAGAGAGAAAATAAATAAGCTTGTTACAAGTAAAGTAAATCTTATGCAAAAGACAGAGGATTTAAAAATAGATAACTTTATGTAAGTTAATTTATTACAGAAAAAATGCACAGCAAAGCTAAGTATGGTGTCATGTGTCTGCAGTGGAGGCTGAGACAGGAGGATGGCTTGAGAAAGGCAGCTGCAGGCCAGTCCAGGCAGCATGGTAAACATACCAGCATGCACTTAATTAGTTAAACATTTCATTGCAGATTTCAACTAAATATTGCCCCTTCCACTCACAGTATGGAATAGAACAGATGTGTCGAAAATCCAGTTCATGTGATTAGGTAATTTTAGTAAGCATAGCAGACCTGCAGTGTAATTTTGGACAGGAAAGAAAACTCTGTGTTGGGAGACTGGCTTGAGTCCTTCAAATAGATTAAGGACAGAGTAGGCTGTGGCCACAGCCCCTTCAGCTTCTTTCCTTTCCATTCAGTGTAGGCTGTCAACCACGGATGATTTTCTTTAACCTTATAGTTTTGGGATAAGTTTTATATTAGCATCTATTTTGTCATAATTTTTAGCAGACTTTAGGCAGCACTCTGTTTTTTTTCCTCTGTGATAGATAATCCATGGCTTTTCATTTCACTCCCCAGGACAACGTGCAATAGACACAGTGTTGTGTTTTTTCCTCCTTGGATATTGAATCTTTGCTCGACTCACATTTTCCATGACTAAAGTTAGAAACATTTAGGCTACAACCAGTCCAAAAATATGCCTAAGTTCTGAAAGAGGAAAATCATGTCATACAAGGGTAAATATAATATTGGATCAATTCATTTCATTTAAAGCCATGTATTCTGGATGCCTCCCAAAACAAACGTCTTTGTAATTTGTCTTCTTGGAGTTGCTTTTCACAAAACTTATTGCACTTTGCATTTCTCTCTAGATGGATATTTATATGTGTCACGTTATTTCCTGCATTATTTTTCTTAACTATACAGGCAATTAGTCCACGTAATATGTTCATAATTAGGAAAACAGCAACTGATTAGACTTTTTTCCCCAGCTCACTAGTTTAGTGCCTTGTAATCTTCTCCCACATCCCCTTAATTTTGCAGCCACTATTCACAGTTAGATCACTAACTATTGTTACAATGATGGTCATATTTCCTAATTTCCTGAGAAACTTTAATCTTTCTCATCAGAGATAACTTTAAATTACACAAGTCTCTAGCCTCATTGTGCTGCTGAACTCAAACCTAGGATCTCATGCACGCTAGACAAATACTCATCCACAGACCCACATCCCACCCACCTGGGTGAATGTTATACTCTTTTAGCCCCTATGTTTGGAAGGGTCCTTGCTTCTCTGAAAGAATTCCTTATACATGGGAGCCTGATCCTGCACTATGAATTCTGTCACCACCTATACGTCTCAGTGTTGGCAAGATGTTAGCATTAGAATCAGTCTTTGTTTCTAGGAGCTGATCTGCTGTCCCTGCAGAAAACCCCACTAAGGCAGGACTGCTGGACTGCCAAGAATAACACCCAGTCTTTATTGGGGGTGCCTGATGGTTGGTGCTCACAGCTTTATCCCAGGTCCAACTCTCCTAGTGGGGTAACATTCTGAGCTGAGCCCCGCCCTCCAAAGCACTGGTGCCAGCTCTATCCCCAAGAACACCCCTCTCTTGTAGGTATAAAGTTTATGCTGGGAAATTAAGAGATTTGAGTCAGTGATGATGAGATATGGTGGTACATGCCTATAACACCAGCATTCAGAGGCTGAGGGGTTAGAAGTCAGCCTGTGCTAGAAAAGAAACGAACAAAACTCCTAAATTAATGATCTCTAGTTTTGGTCAACCCAGCACAGGGTGAGTGTGACGTGATACAATTAAAACAAATCCAAGAGTGCACTGTGCCACCTACAAACAAATGGTTGGTGTTCGTGCTGGCGACCCAGTGAGCTCTGCAAGGGATTCTTTTCAATTCTGCTATGGCTACCAGGAAGCTTCCTTCCTTCAGGCAGCCTTTCCCTACTGCACGGCATGTACTTTAGAGCCACGCTTCACCAGAACTTTAGGTAGGCGGCCTCGTTTGTTTCTGCTTGCCAGGGTACTGATTGTTCTGCATCCTACCTGGTTCTGTGTCTGTCAGGCACTTTGGAACAAGGCAGGAGAGAATAGCATGCACAGAAATATGATCCTGGAAACAGCCAGGCCCAGCAGCACATGCCTGTGTCCCCAGCACTCTGGAGGTAGAGCAAGGATGATCAAAAGATCAAAGTGGTGAGTTCAAGGTGAACCTAGACTATAGGAGATCCTGTCTTAAAAACAGACAAACAAAAGGATCTTGGAAACTGCGCACTCAGATATTCTGGGCTCTGTCCACCATCAGTGGATTGACTTTTGTCCTCTGACAATGAGCCCTTGTGAGTCTGGTTTCTTCATTAGTACCACAGCCTCCCTCCAAACTTTTTTTATAAGAAGTAGGCAAGATAACTAAAGTGGCCAGGACAGAGAGGACAAGCTGTAGAAGCCCATTTCCTTTGCCCTCACCTTTCCTAGGCTTGCTCCAAAACAAATCAGCACAACCTGGTGCTGCTCTAAGCCCTCCTCTGCAGCTCCATTCCTGAGCATGATTCTATCCTATACTCTGGATGTTCTGTGAGTTCCAGTCTTCCCAGATCCATGGTCTCCACTAGGGACTAAATTACAGGGTTTCTAGGAATGGCAAAAGCACTGATTTCATGTGCTTCCCGTGAACAGAACACACTGGTAATTATTTGAGTAAGGAACCACACACTAGGGGACTGTTATAAACCTGCTTTGGAACTGGTTACAAAGAATGTAAAGCCACACTCCAGTATAAAGCACAGTCAAGCACATCTGCCATCTTGGAACCCTGCAAGGATGCTTAGTGGATTTGCTAATTGCCTGAGAGTCCTGGAATGAAATTTACATCACTAATGTAAGAAGACACATCAGGAGCAGGTGCCCTCCATAACCCCCTCTCAAGCCCAGTTTCCCTAACCGGAAGCAAACATTCTTGAGAAAACAGAGGGGAAACCTCTGTTTCCTCTGTGAATGAGATCCTCAGGTGCCTGTATGCTGGAGCTATCATTGGCAAAATCAATACTTTCATCCATAAATAACAAGAATTAAGTGTCCATGGGGGCTTGCTGGAAAAAAAGCAAATGACTATATATTTTCTGATCCCAGTGGGAAAGATTAAAAAGTGATTTAAGAGACCATGTATCTGAAATCTCTTAGTTTTAAACTTTGAGAACAGATAATCTGTAAGTTTAAAAATAATTTTCAATAAACTTTTTTGATGACACCTTTTTATTAATAAATCTGTTTCTTGGGGTAGGGATCCAAACCCCACTAAACCCTGCAAGTGAACACTGCTTCCATATAGAAATGCTTATAAAACTGGGGTGCGGTACCCAGGGCTGGAGAAGGAGGGCTTTGAGGATAATGGTCCCAGGAAGTCTTTTCTGTTATTCCTTGCTCACAGTGAGCCACTCCGATCCCTACCCAGAGAGCCCAGTTTTAAAACCCCAGTCACCCATGAACCTTATTTTGCTGTGTGGAGGCTGAGGGTAGATAACTCATGCAGTGAAGACTGCTTCCTTTCCCGGAAGGAATGGCGAATATCTGGTGACTTTGACTTCAGCTGAATCTACTGCTAGAGTCCCGTTAATCACATATGAATAAATAAACGAATCAGCAAAGTCCACAAGGCTGGCTTATTGATTCATTCAAGAAGTCATTTGGCTCATGCCCTGGGCCTGGGGCTCTGGAGTAGGCACCGAGTGGTTCAAAACAATGCTTAGTAATTCCCCTGAGTCATCACCAGGGATTACCCACATCTAAGCAAACCCCTGAGTTCTTCCATGATCCCGAGATTTGTGAGTGGAAACCTCATTCAGGACCCGTTACCCTGGACCATTTCACCTGCTGGGGGCCTCTGTGGGAACAATTTCCCATTGCATCCACAGAGAATGCTGAATTTCCTAGAAGGGACTTCACATGGGTACATTCTCCGGAGTAAAAACCTTTGCATCCTGGTGTTAATGCAGCTTGCCTTCTTTAAAATCTGAGTGTTTTTAGACTTAATTAGGCTGCCGGGAGTTCCGTGCCTTTCCAGGGGTGGATGATGCCTGCAGAGCAGGGGGTTAGAAAGTGAGGCCGCCCTTGGGCTTGTCTGTCTGCTGAGTGCACTTAACTCGTCCTTTCACCCTTTGCCATTATGATAGAGAATAGAAGCTATGCTGGAAGCTGCCAGCATGTTCTTGCAGTCCCAACCCACTGAGCTGTGAGCTACTTAGACCTCTTTCTTCAATAAGTTACCCTGGCACGTGGATGCGGTTATAGCGACAGAGCACAAAGCACAGCAGAGATGGGAGAAGTAGACTCCTCATTTTTGAGTGTCCTGGAACTTCTCATCCACCATCCTCTCCTGCATCACTTCCCTCCTCCGAGACTGTTGAAGAAGAAAGAGCATCCTTTACCTGTTCTGTAGCCAGTGTTGTTGAGATACACAGCAAAGGTCCGAGGCTCATGCATCGCCTGCCACGAGGGGGAGGAGCAGTTCTCATTGTTCGTGTAGACGTTGTGGTTGTGCACATACTTCCCTGTGAGCATGGACGACCGTGATGGGCAGCACATGGGTGTGGTCACAAAGGCGTTGGTGAAGGTGGCCCCACCGTGCTCCATGATCTTTCTCGTTTTGTTCATGACTTGCAGAGAACCTGAAAAGCAGAGTTCTGGCACCGGTTAGCAGAGCACACCCCGTGGCTACCCACTTCCGACCTGACTCTGAAGCATCTCTGTCCTCTCTGCTTGTTAGTTTCCCTCCCCTTGTGTGAAGGAGCCTATGATTTGGTCGGTCCTCATTTCTAGAACAAAACAGGCCTGTTGGGATCTGAATATCTCAGACGTTCTGTAGAATAATCATCCTGCTTCATTCTCTCTCCTCTTTAACCACAAAGGGAAATGCAAAGAGGCTAATCATGTAATCAAAGCCAGAATTTTAGATATGAGGAAGATCCCAATGTCAGGTGCCTTTGAAGACCATTAGAGAACAATGGCTTGAAACACCATGTCAACACCCTGGGAAAGTCTAATAATACCAGAATTTAGCCCATATGGCATTTTAATTTTAATTCCATGGCAGAAGAAAAAACAAAGCAAACCCCTTATTAAGCAAAAGATCCTCCAAAATATATGTAATCAGTGAGCAAGGAGTGCAAGGAGGGAGAGGGGAAGGGGCGGGGGAGGTACGAGGGGGAGGGAAGAGGTGTCTCAGAGTAACTTGGTATCCTCTAGCAAGTTGATAGATGTCTGCCTGTGCTTCTATCCAGATAAGACTATGTATGGCCTTGTGCCTTGGCCAGGTTATATGTCCACTCTGTCCAGAGAAAAGGAGGAAGTGTAGGGTTTCCAGCAAGGAAGAAAAGTGGAGTTACACAGAGGCAAATGAAGAGAAGCTGCAGTTATCCCGAATCCTTCACCTTAGCGTTTTCTGTTCACAGGATGTACGAGACAACAGTGGGGAGGGGAGGGAGGCTTCTAATCGGGTCTCACTAGAACTTAAATATGCTTTTGTAAGAGGTGCTCCTGACTGCTCCTTCTCTCTGTGGTGTGGGAGGTCCTACTGCATATGTGTTTCTTTTATTGGTTAATGAATAAAGCTGCTTTGGCCTGCGGCAGGGCAGAATGGAGTAAGGCGGGAATTCCAAGCAGATAGAGGAGAAAAGAAGGAGGAGTCAGGGAGATGCCATGTAGCCATCACAGGAGACAGATGCTCAGGAATCTTACTGGTAAACCACAAGCCTCGTGGTAAAATATAAAATAATAGAAATGGGTTAATTTAAGATATAAGAGCTAGCTAGAAAGATGTCCAAGTTATTGGCCATTAATTACAGTGTTGTAATTAATACGGTTTCTGTGTGATCATTTTTGGTCTGAGCATCCTAGAAACGAACAAGCAGCCTCTGCCTACATCTCTGACTATCTTCTGGCGATTGAGCACCTTTTTGTAGGGCATGACCTACAGTGCACACCCAATTGTGCTGAACATCTTAGCAGCTTCGGCTCTCTACACCCATTCCCCTGTAGTATGGGCAGGGCAGGGGAGGTGGGGAAGAAAGTACAATTCTCTTTCTCTGCTATCCACTACACACAACATGGGTGAGAACTGACATGCAGAAGTTGCTTGTGAATATTTGCAAAGCCCCCCCCCCCCCGCCACAGCACACATATAAGAATGTGAACATAGCTAAAGCAAAAATGGAAGCCAGGAGAGGACTGGAGTGAATGCTTAACACGAGAGGTGAAGACAGGACAGGAGAGGGAACTGTCAGGTGGGTAGGGTGCAAGGCACTGTTGGGGACAAAGGGAGGGCAGCATGGGTAATGCTCTTTGGTGACCAGGAGAGCAGTAGAGCTCCGGGATGGCTCGGTGTTTTTCTGACATGGAAAAGAATATGAAATGTTTTCTTAAAGAAATGTGACCCGAGAGGCAGTGCAGACATCTTGGCTGCTGGGCCGACATTCTAGGATCTGACGAGAGCCATAAGATAAGGCAGAGTAGAATTCGATGAGCAAAGAATACGCTGAGCAAAGTTTTGAGAGGCGTTGTTGCAGGAGCGGTAGTGTGTGAGTAGAAGACTGTAGCCAAAAGGCTGCGGAAGCCATCCTGGCCTGCTGGAATAAAGCCTCCCTGCTCCCTTGATAGACAGGATCCAAGAAGCAGATTCAAGGCACGCTGTAATCCGTGGAAGAGGGCTGTGGGTTGACTAATGGCTCAGATTTTCAGCACAAGAAGAAATCTGGAAAGGGAATGGTTTCCTTGATGGTGAGGAAGTAACTGAAAAGAATGCGCCTCCCAAAAGATCAAAGAGAGATGCATTGCAGAAGTGTTGCCTTTTACATTTTTGCTGGGTGATCATAGAGAGGGGACATCCGGACGTGAGCTGATGGTGGAGAAGAGGGAGTTGGAAGGCTTCTGCAGGTGACCAACAGCCCCCTCGCCTCTCCTCTTTAGGTCTAGGTGGTATTTCCTCAGAGGAATGTCTTGACTTTCGGAAAAAAACAACAAACATTGCCTAAGAGTCTATTCCAGAGAACCCGTTCTCAGAGTTTCCTTTATGGGCCTTTGTTAGATTCAAATAAAAGAAGGAATGCAGCTGGAGGCCATCAGCCCAGGTCCTGTGTCCCCAGTGGCCACCTCCCGCTTCCAGACGCATTTGGACTGCAAATGTCGGGTGGAGGAGGGGATCTGATTGAAAGTCAAAATAGCAAAGTCTATGGTTAAATTATCTTTAGCCTTGTTAATAGTCAGAATTTCTCAGTCAGAATCCCCCTCTCAACCCCACGGTCACCTTGCTGTCACTATCTGAGCTAAGTGTGTTGTGATCCTAACCACTTCCTCAAAAACAGATGGACAGCATCCGGACGTTGCCAACAGATTGGCCCGAGCAACTCCCTTAACCTCTTTGGGTTTGGGTTTCTTCTCGGCAATGTGGAGCTCTTCTCGCTCATTCCCAGTGTTGTCAAGAAGTGGATGTCCTGATGCTATGATGTGATCCCTTGATGCGGCGGTGCCGTTGCTAGGGCTGCACAGTTGGCATTCCGTGTCTGTGGGTTTCCCGTTGGGCCTTTCAACCAGCTGCAGATCGAAAGCCCTCAAAAATATTAAAAGGATCCAAAAAATTCCGTGGGCAAAAAAAATTGTGTCCTGAACATATGAAGACACTTTTTTTTGGTCATCATTCTTCAAACTAAATATAGCACAAGTATAAACAAAGTATTTCCATGGTGTGGGGGATTATGAATACTCTATGGTAAATAGCAGAATATGTATTCCATTTTATGTGTGGGATTTGAGTATCCAATATGCTTGGTATTTCCTGGAGTTCTATATTAGTTAGTTTTTTGTTGCTGAGATACAACAGCATGACCAAGGCAACTCATAGAAGGGTTTATTTAGTCTTATGGTTTCTGGGGTATATGTGTCTAGCATGGTAGAGAAGCGACAGGCATGGTAGATAGAACAGGATGCTGAGGGCTCATATCCAGTCTCCTGTGGATACCAACTGCCCTTAGCTCACCTCAGCCCACTTGTATGATTACGTAACATTCATACTAAATACTTAGGTTGTTTATTCAATGTAGCGTGATTTTACATATTAACCATTATCACATCTATGGCAAGGAACGCGCTACTCAACAACAATCACTCCCATAATAAACGTGAATGTATTGGTGTAGTGAATATTTTAATCTAAAAATACAAGAAAAAAATCATAAAGCAGTTTATTTTTCTGCCAAAACTATTCATATTCAGTCTTGGGGGGGCAGACACAAGATGTTTTCATTCAAAACCAAGAGGGAAAAATAAGTTGGAGAAGGAGGGAAAGAAGAAAGATAGTAAATCTGCCTGCAAAGTTTCCAGGTCACTAAAACTCATGGCTCCCTTCCCCCACCCAATAAGAGCAAAAGGACCTGAGATGCTGAGACCAGGGGGAAAGGAAGGAGGTTACACTCACTAGAGATGTAGGTTTAGGAACTCTTTCCTGACTGTTCAGTGCAGCAATGTGGGAATCTTGGTAACTGGCAGGCTCTTGGTAGAGGTGCTGGGAGGCAAAAGGGGGCTGATTGTCCTGGGGAGTCATACCCCACTTAAGGGGGTGGCTGGAATGAGGGGG